TGACGGGGATCTGAATATGGGTTTGATGTAGGGTAGTCGGAATAGCAAGCATCTGGGTATCCACCTCGCATACAAAGACGGGTTGTTTCCCTGGTTTTTGTGGCATGCTCTTTAGTGCCCGTACTTCAGGTGTGATGGTTGCCGTGAACAAGAGAGTTTGCCGCTCCGCTGCAGGAGGAAGAACCGACAAGCACTCCTCAACATCAGGCAGCATACTACCGGGTCCAGCAGCATGAAGCAGCCGATCAGCTTCGTCAAGAACGACAAAACGGACCCGCCGCAACCCGCATATAGTGTCCTCTCCAGAGGTTCGAATATGATCTGCCAATCGGCCGGGAGTAGCAATAATAACGTGCGGTCGCTGTGCCATCGCAATGGCTTGAGCTCGCATGTCTGAGCCACCGGTGACTAGAATAGCTTTCAAACTCTGTGGAGATGAAATAGCCTTGAACTGCTCATATATTTGAAGTGCCAGTTCTCGTGTAGGCGTCAACACAACCCCGAAGATAGCGCTAGGGTCTTCTGCCCACTTTTGCAATATGGGAACAGCAAAGGCGACTGTCTTTCCGGAACCGGTTCTGCTGCCACCAATACAGTCTCGGCCTTTCAGAATTTCAGGTATGCAGCCCTTTTGAATACCCGTAGGTCGTTTAATAGCCATGTTCGCGAGCGACTGTACGAGCCATGGCCGAACATTGAGACTAGAGAAGCTCGTGTTTGGGTCGGTTGGTGCGAGAATTGGATTGCTCGGTTGGATCATGGCCTCTTGTTCAGCTTGGGTATGATTTGTTTTTCGTTTTATTCGGGATGGTGCCTTGATGGTGGAAAGTACTGTCTGGAAGTGTTTCTCGTCATCTTCACTGTCGTCTCCGTCTTCGGCTTGGTCAAGGTCCAGTGAATCGCCGCCATCATCTGCAGATGCTGTTCGTCGTCGTTTTCTCGCCCCGGAACTGTCCAAGTAATCCGACTCGGAGGAGGATTCGACCTCGGGTGCATTGTCGACATCAGAGGCAGAATTCAACTCTTCGAAATCCACGGGGGCGCGTATCGCTACCCGGTTGGGCATGATGGGCATCAACCTGTGGTGAATTTGGAATACCTCGAAGGGTTTTAGCAAGCAGGCTGTTCCATCATGGCATGGGAAAAATAAAAAGTTGGAAGACTTCATGGTGAGTGGGGGCCAAGCTGAATTTTTTGTGGGGCGGGGACCAGTGTGGCCCGACAGTGGAAGGCGCTTTGGGCGCATCGACGTTTGGCACTTGATGGGGGACTCTGGAGGGCTGGGAGCAACCTGCGGAGTGCTTGAGCTGGAGGAGGTGGGCTGTTGGATGTCCCTCGTACCTGCTTTTACAGAGACCTTGGCGTAAGCTTCGCCGCGAGCATCTGGAGTACATTAAATGCAAGGCGTGTCAGCTTCGGTCCTCTTTTCGGTCGCAATGCTTACAATACACCTGGCGTTGCTTTGTTTTTTTTTTTTTCAAACACTGAGATTAAAGGGGTCTTTTCTGCGCCTTCTGTATTACTCCGTACGCACCTCAAGGACGAAGGTCTTCTTTGGGAACTACCTTTCGTTAGTACAGTGGTACAAAATATGGAGGCCTGTAGACGCGCGCTTAGGGGCGGGAATCGTCATCGTTGGTTGGTGAAAGCATCTTCCCTGTTGCACCGCTAGGTCTAGGAAGAGGATTACGGCCAAGGCGTAGCAGTGTGCTGAGACAAGCAGCGGGCGACAAATGCAGCTGCATCTTCAGGAACGGGGTTGTACGAAGTAAGCTACGATAACACTGACAGGCTCGGATATTGAATATTGACACCACGGAAGCATGGTTCCATACCTACCTAGGTGCCTAGTCATGATCTCCAAGTAGTACGTACTTCTGAACCATTGACTTCTATTGGTAGCGCATTGCGTGGACGATGTTTTGTGTGCGAGCAGAGGGCTTCGTCCATCTATAGGTGACATCCGGCAAGCGTCATGGGCAGTCCTGATAAAAGGTTCCGTCACCTACACTACAAAAAGTGCAGATCACTCCTAGTAGTGTAAGGGCTTTATATCGCTACATATATCATCACAAGTTCACCCACTTACATTTCCCATGGACGCAGTGATACCACCTAGGTAGTTGAATCCTTTCCAGACTTTCATTGTATGCACTCGACCCCCTGAAACTGTCATAACCCAACCAGGGAACATGCTTGCTCACTCCTGAGGCTGACAGCTGGAGTGGGCGCTGAGCATTGTAAGGGAATGCTATTCCGAGCCGATGCTGCCTGATTCCTCGTGTTGCATCCAAGGGTGGAATACCCCATCTTCGTACGGAGTACGGAGTACTCCATGAAGATACACCATCTAAGGCCTGAAGAAAGCGAAACGTACAGCTGGTAGAAGGGTGCATAAGTAAAGCAGAACGCATAATCCTCCAGCCCGCTCGGTCAATCGTGTTCCCATCGTCCACCACAACTTGGACCGCTTGGACCGAATCATGCCATATTGCTTGCCAAGCTGCAATCGAAGGCCCATTTGCGAGCCGGGCAGCAATTCAGAAGACGGATTTTGAACAGAGGACTCGGACATAGGAAGAGAGAACTGCTGAACTGTAGTAAGTGATTGTGACGGCCACCCACATCAGGCATCCTATGTGACATGCAGTGGTCTTTCTCACACACACACACACACACACACCTCGACACGCGCCTTCATTCTGAACGACCTCCTGGTGACCGACAGAGTCTCGTTGGTCAGCTTGAAGACGGACCCAACAAGCAGGCCAGCTTTGGGGGATGGCAAGATGGGTCGCACCACGCATTGGACAGGCCATGACAGGCCGAGACAAGCCCTAACATACCCCGTACAGCTAAAGGGGACGTGTATGTAGAGTAACTGGTGATGGTGGGCGGGGGGCAGCAGATCTGTTTACTGGACAAGTGATCGCCAGTACCGAGGAAACTATTGGGCGAAGCCGGATGAGTTGCCGTCAATCCGTTGGAGCCTTGTTGATGTGCTCGGTTAGTTACATCATGACAAAATACATGTGCAATAATCACCCACCAAGGACCTGCAAGCCAGGCCCGGGGTCGGGGCCGCCCCAGCTTTGACAACAGAGCTGGGGGAGGGACGAGGAAACAGGCGAGCAGACATTGGAGGCTCTGCATGTACACCTGCTGTGGCCGGGTCCTGGGTTTAGTAGACAATGAGCTTGATGGTTGATAAGGCGATGAAATTGTCCCGATTGACTGCAGGTGCAGAGGAGGAGGCGTACAGGACGCAGGCACACGGGTAAAGTAGAAGAGAAGAAAACACCCAGCAGCACGCACCACTAGTAGTCGCTTGCCAGTTGACACCTGGATAGCAGAGCAGACGATTTGCCGAGTACTTACTTACTTAAGTAAGTACGGAGTACACAGGTACCTACCAGGTACGTACTTAAGTACGTAATATATTGTGTAGTCCAAGGTGCTTGCTTGGCTTGGTGCTTGCTTGGCTTGAAAAGTACTTAGACGGAGTCAAGTTTCAACAAGGACAAGAATATCGAAACATCAAACGCAGCGTGGCCAAGTACTTGACGGACTGGACAAGTGCTGAGCTCTTGGCTTCTCCGCCATGCGGCCACTTGGAACCAAGAAATTATGCACACATGCAGGAGCCACTGAAGCTCCAGCCGGTGGCTTGAGTGTTTCACGATGGCTTCGGGTGATGCCATTGAGCGCACTGGGGCGTTTGGGTCTTCGGTGTCTGTCAGATCAGTCAATGGCGGGCCAAACATTGAATACGGCCTGGCACCGGCAGCACCGACATGGAGCAGACAAGCAGCATCGATTGGCCCAGCTGGTCAACTGGTGCTCGGGGCGATGCAGGTCGCAGATTAGCGCCCAGTGCCAGCCATTGACCGACTTGGACTCGAGTACGGAGTATTATGTACATGTACCATCGTTTGGAGCAATTGCCCAGCGCGGGAGCCGCAGCATCAGTCCCTCGAGTGCTGGGCGCACAGATCAAGAACTGGCCTTGAAGAGTTCGAATGTTGCAGGTCGGCGTAACAACCAGTCTGCCATGGCCAAGGACTCGACCGTGTACCTCGACATGAGGGTACGGGGTACAACCACGGCAACGCAGGAGTGCAGGCAGGAGTGCAGCAGTGCGGGAGCGCAAGCTGCTGCGTACATGTCAAGGGTACTTTGCCCAAGCAACTCCCGCACCAAGAAGTCCTAGGTCGATCGATGTCTGCCCGCAGCTCGAGTCCTTCTGTGGCCTCTGTTGCCTCTGTGTTCCCACCTGCACCTCCTTCATCCAGCCCGCTGCCGCCTGTGCTGCATTGAAACATTGAAATCCTTCTCAACCACGCCAGATGCAGGCCACTCATCCTTTTCCAAATCATTTTGCATTCAACTCACCCTCCCCCTTTCCCGCTCCGTGACGTCTGTTGCTCGTGCCAAAGCTACCAAGTGCTGGAGCCTTCATATAGTGTCGCCTCTCACCCACTTACTCTCCCGCCAGCGAAAGAAAGAAAAAAGACAAACACGAAACATTGGAGGCTCTAGTAGCTGTTGGACCATCTGAATCCCACCAAGCCGTTGACCTGACTTACTTAGTCGAGCCGCCCAGTCCCCACTGCAGCATCCCCCTCATCGTCGGTGCCCGCAGAGCATCATCCGACACCAGCTTGCGTGTGCTCTGGCAGACCTTTTGGGCCTCAAAAAACAACCGACCTTAACTGTCTTCGACCGAGCCAAGACGATACCATCTCTCGACACTCTTCAATACCTCCTCCGAGAGAGCTTTTTTGCTCCCACCAACACCTCTTCTTCCTCTGCATGGTTTTAATTTCTCTTTGGCCCCCCTCAAGTACCGTGGCACTCTATCCAGCTGCATCTCTACCTGTTGGCCGCGATCACAGCCACCATCACGGCGATTCTTCGCCATAAGAAGCATCTGAGGTGCCGTCTCCTCGTTTGCAGCTCTCTGGTAGCCGCCCTGGCCCTGGCTTATAAGCATCGTTGTCATGGCGGACACATCAGGCTCGCAGTCACAGAGTACTGACCCAGCAGCACAATTGGTGAGTGCCGCATTTGTGGATGAGACTCTTTCTTGCATACAGCGAACTGACTGGAATTTTCCTCTCAAACAGCCAACCTTTGCCGCAGCACCGCCAACCTCTGCCCCTTCCAATGTCGTTCCTCAACTATCATCTCCCGCTCCAATCCTCAGACCGGCCATTCCCGGCGGCCGCTCTGGTGGCCGTCCCCCGAGGCTTGGTATTTCTATTCCGGCGTCTCCAAGTGTGAAACCGGTCGGCAGCCAACAACAAGTTCAGTCTACCCCGTCAAGGCCGCCGCTTCCAACTTTACACCTGGCCACTCCTATGGGCACGCGAGCCACGCCGTATGAGCAGCCTCCCGGATCACAGGGAATCCAACCCGGCCAGTCTGCCGACGGCGGCAGCGAAAGTAGCGCAGCCCACTCGAGGTCCGGTAGTTTTGGGCCTTTAGACGGCAGGGCAAGCAATCCTACTTCGGCAGGATCTCAATTTTCTGCCCTTTCGTTTGCCTCACAGTATATTATTCCGGTAACAAGAACTCAAGGTACTCCAGATCCGGTATCAGCTGTGGGATCCATGTATTCTGAAAGAAGCGAAGGCGGCGTTTCCATGGAAAGAGATGGCAGTCATCAAGACTCCGCTACCTTTGCTGGCTGGACTCTGGAGAAGCTCAAAGAAGCCGATGTTGAGGATCTTGATGATGAAGGCTGGAGAATTGCAAGCATGAATAATTTCATTGAGGAGCTCGGTCATCTGGGTGAAGGTGCCGGGGGTGCTGTTACCAGGTGTAGACTGAAAGAACGCAAGACTGTGTTTGCGCTGAAAGTAAGCCGTCTACTCGTAATTGCTCAACTCTAACGTGGACTGACCTGTGGGTTATAGATTATTACTACCAACCCGGATCCTGATGTTAAGAAACAGATTGTACGAGAGTTGGGCTTCAACAAAGAATGCGCGTCAGAGCACATCTGTCGTTACTACGGTGCTTTTGTCGACCCGTCCACCGCCACCATCTCCATTGCTATGGAGTTCTGTGAAGGCGGGTCACTGGACAGCATCTATAAAGAGGTCAAGCTACAAGATGGTCGAACAGGAGAGAAGGTTCTGGGAAAGATCGCCGAGGGCGTATTGCGCGGACTCACTTACCTCCACACTCGACGGATCATCCACCGAGACATTAAACCATCGAATATCCTCCTGTGTCGAGATGGAGCCGTGAAGCTGTGTGACTTTGGGGTTTCTGGCGACTTTGGAACTAAGGGAGAGGCCAACACATTCATCGGCACCAGTTATTACATGGCACCCGAACGAATCACTGGCCAATCATACACAATTACATCTGACGTGTGGTCCACGGGTGTAACATTACTGGAAGTTGCTCAAAATCGCTTCCCATTCCCTGCCGATGGGACCGAGATGCAACCAAGAGCAGGTTTGATCGACTTGCTAACTTACATTGTTCGGCAGCCGGTGCCGACGCTCAAGGATGAGCCTGATGTAAACGTGTACTGGAGCGACAACTTCAAATATTTCATCGAGTGCTGGTGTGTACCTACCACCTACCCCCTCTTTTTATTTTTTTTCAAGTTCCTTTGCGCTTGTTAACATTTCCACAGCCTAGAGAAGCGACCCGATCGCCGAGCCAGTCCATGGAAGATGCTTGAGCACCCCTGGATGCTTGACATGCGCCCCAAGCGAGTTAACATGGTTAAATATCTTTCCTCCGTGTGGAAATGGGAAAAGTAACAACCAGCGTCATAAATATCATGTACCAATTGTATACAATTCGTGAAAAAAGGGATTTGCATCAGTTCCACTCTGATGAGAACATCACGGCCGCTCGCTTCTTACCCTACTATATATTACGGGGGTTTATTCTAACGGCCTAATCAACACTTGGGATTACGAATCGCACTGAATGCTGAATCGGACACATGAGCGTCGACACCGCAAATTTTTGCATTTTTATTGCTACCAAAGTCTGCACAGACCAGAAGACCATCGCATTCATATGAAACGCCTGCACAAGTGGCAAGATACCTTGCGATGAAAGCATACCTACTACTGCATATGGGACGGTGTTCCCTTTTGGGTCTCATTTCTGGAGAGAATGAAAACGGATTGTTCCTTTTTTTTTGGAATTTTCTTTTCCTTATGTGGTTGTGGGCATTGGGGCATCAGTGCTGCGTGCGGGCGGGTATTGGTTTCAAATTCTTTTCTCTATTCTCTTAACTCTTTCAATGTCATTAAACAAGATCCAAACTCATGAGTTGCCCACCCCTTCGTCTGATGGTGTAACCTCATCCAACCGATCACCCATTAGCTCTCTGAGCGTGACTGTTGCGTAGGCACTGCTTGCTAGCTGGAACTTGACGACAACAGCTATTTTGGTAGGTTCGGCGGGCAATTCTGTCTCGGTGTTTGCCTCGGCACCGTTACTACTCGTAGCCTCCTGCTCGCTATTCGCCGTCTCCATCTTTGCTTCAGCCTGGCCCTCGCCATCATCAGCCTTGATTTTCTTGGCAGGGCCACGGTCATCTTCATCTCTCTTCCTCTTCCCTTGAATCCCATTCTTCTTGGCACCGTTGATCAAATCCAAGTCTGTGGGGTGCATCTGCTCTGTATCGTCCTCATACAGCTTGAACTCCACAGTAGGCTCAACCAAAAACCTCTGCATCAGCTTCCTATACCGTCCTGGGAGGCTAAACTCTCTTCTCAAGCGACGCATCTTGTGCGGGTCAAGACTACCATTCTCCTCGCGACCCATGAACTCTTGGTAAAATTGGCCAATTTCATTATCCGGATAGATGACGTCGTAGCCCGGCGAAGGGAGAACAATGTCGTAAATGGTGTACTTGCCGCTGGCGGCTTCTTCCTCGGTGAGGGCGCGAGCACGCAGGGGTGCATCTTCCTCGTCCTCGACGGGGTTGATGACTTCGTCGCCGTCCTGGTCCCGCTCCCGCTCGGCGGCCGCAGGCTGAGTCTCGCCATCGGAAATGACCAGGTCGCCCTTTGCGACCTTGTTGCCGTGCAGGGCGTACCGCTGGCTGGCGGCGTGGTTCCACACGTGCGACTGATAGGCGTGGAGGTACATGGATCGCAGGCCACGCGTAATGTGGGTGATGGCGCCTGCAAAGTCCCGCGCCGAGTTCTTCCCCATGCGGGTGAGGTGGCGGAGGATGCATGACTCTGCCGCGAACCGCCGCGGGATGACCTTGACGGCTCGGTTCAGGTCCTTGCCTGTTTGGAAGAGCATGCATGCGAGGTGGCGGAGGGCGTCGTCCTTCTTGGAGGGCTCGTCGGGGACTTGGCCAGCTTCGGCCTTGGCTGCGATTTCGGGGTCGTATTGGAGGAGGGCGTTGACGGCGGCCTCGAAGTCGTCTCCGAGGATGAGCTTGCCGACCTGGTGCGTGCCTACGTCGTGGGTGCCGAAGCGCTGGTGGCCAAAGTAGTTGATCCATCCGTGGGAGGACATGTGTTTGAGCGCTGGTTCGACATTGTTCCTCATGGAGGCGAGGCGCTCCGAGGGCGACTGTGCGGCGGTTTCGCCTGCCATTTTGCAGTTCTTGAGGGTGATTACGAATTCGTTGCCGAGGAGCTGGCCCAGGTGAATGGGTTGTTCCTGGTACTCGTAGTCGCCGGTCGATATACCCCAGAGCTTGCCGTTGAGCCCTGCCAGCGCTCGCTTGCGCTGATGTCGCACTGAGCAGCGCTGCGTAGTCGATGCGCGGCGGTCCTTGGTCCCCGCGTACCCGATGATTTGGGGCTTTACTCTGAGCAGACGGGCGATTTGGTTGGCGGCATCCATGGTGTCGCGGTTATCCTTGTACAGCGTGAAATGGAGATAGTCCCCCATTGGTCCGTCGTCGCCCGGCTGACCACGACGGCCTCTGCTCTTCTTCCCCTTGCGGGGGGAGACGTAGTTGGCGACGATGACTCCGTCGTGGCCGGTGGTGGTTTCGAGACGGGACTTGAAGATGCGGCGGACTTCCTGGTGGAGCTGAGCGCGTTTGGGCTTGTCGTCGATGACAGGTGAGGTAGCTGTGTTGGCATCGTTGGATGAAGGGCCGTTGCCGTAGTTGAAGAGCTTGACCAGGTCCTGGGCGAATTGGGCTGTGGAGAGGTCTTCGAGGACTTTGACGTCTTCCTGGGGGACCTCAATTGTTTGCTCCGGCTGAGGCTTTTCATCTTGTGGTGTACTTGAGTCTTCATTTCTGGCGTTTGACTCGCTGTTTTGAGGCTGCTCCAGCTGCTGAAGCCAGTTAGTCTCTCGCAGCACGCATCACGAAGGGGTTCCAGCTTTACCGTTCGCTCGTTTCCAAGCCCAATCGTGCGCAAATGAAGAACTGTTCCATCTGTGTTGATCTCATTTACTTGGAAGTCTGAGAATCTGGCCTTGTGTATTAGCGCATGGCAAGACGAAGCACACGGAAATTGGGAGAATGGAAACGACGTACCTGACTCTCATGTCGCCAGTCCATGAACATTTCAATGGCGTGGTTCGGTGAGTGATGCCAATTGACGCCGCGTAGGATGATCCCGCGCGTGCGTTAAAATGCTCCTTATCCTTATCCGACATTGTAACAACTCCTTTCGCGCTTTGAAATATAACTTTTGCGCGACACCCTATGAAAGTGCCTTTTGAGTGTGGTTCGTGATTTTCACTGACAGTCTCTGCTAGGCAGTTCTGTAAAGTAGCCGCTATGGGAAGGCGGTGGATGCTTGATGGGCTAGAAATGGTAGGCGGTAAAGGTAAATAAATGGAAGCGGGTGCACACTGCACAGGGCGCCTCACTTTAGTGGCGTTTTTGAACTATTAAAACGCTTAATTATATTGTCATCTTCTGTTGCAGGACAAAATGTATGTGAAAGACCAAGATGACGATAAGTTATGAATCTCTTTGGGGCGCTCATTTGGATCGCTAGAGGTCTTGGATCCAGCACAACAACTCGTGAACAATGCGATTAGTCAACTCGTACGACTGGCACCACATGAGAAATTCACCATTTCCCGTTTTAGTTTTTGACTACTAATTTGACCCTTCCCTCAAATGAATCGGGAAGTGAAAACCTCACCGGATGGGCAAGTTCACCCCCTCTCTTCGAAACGACCAGATATCCACGATGTCAATGGACGAAGAGAAAGGCCAGGGAATCGTTCCCAAGACACCTGGTGAGAAGGATGCCTTGGACGTGGACTCGAGTGACAAAGCAGATCAGGGTGCCGCTGGCTCAACAAGGAGCGGAATACTTGCCCAACTGCGCAATCTTGAAGCCCGTATGGATGCTAAGTTCGGAATCGAATCCGAAGCCATTGTTCGGAAACGCGCGGAAGACAAGAAAGATGTGCCTTGGACCGAAGAGCTCACCATGGCTCTGTTATGGGCTAGCGGAACCATGAACACGTCCTGTTTCGCGACGGGCTTTCTAGGGTGGCAATTCGGTCTGAGTCTGAAGCAGACTATTCTCATCACTATATTTGCTTCTATTCTCGGCGGAATCGTCACAGGCTACTGTGCGACATTCGGTGCCGCCACGGGATTGCGACAGATGAGCGTCAGCAGGTACAGCTTCGGATGGTGGCCCAACAAGCTCATTGCTATTCTAAACTGCATTCAGCAGATGGGCTGGGCGGCTGTTTCTTGCATCACTGGCGGCCTTGCGTTGACAGCGGTTTCGGACGGCCATGTTTCCCTCATTCTGGGCATCGTCATCCTGGCCGTGGTGGCGCTGCTCATCTCATTCGTTGGGCTCAACGCCATCTTGGTCTACGAACGATACGCGTGGATTGTCTTCTTCGTCATCTTTCTCATCATCTTCGGCGAAACCGGCAAGTACGCCGACAACTCGACTCCCGCCTCCATCACTGGCGCGACGTTAAGCGGTGCGGTTCTCAGCTTGATTGCCATCGTGTACGGTTCCAGCGCTGCCTGGTGCACGACGGCCAGCGACTACTACGTCCACTATCGCGCCGACGTCAGCCGTACCAAGGTTTTCCTCATGACAAGCTTTGGAATTGCGATCCCGACATCGATTGGCATGCTGGCAGGTTGCGTGGTCGCCTCGTCTCTGAACACTCAGGCCGAATGGCGAGACACGTACGAGCATGACGGGTTGGGCTATCTGATTCAAGATATGCTCTACCCACGAGGATTTGCCAAGTTTCTTCTCACTTTGCTGGTGTTATCGGGCATCAATACCAACGTTATTAGCATCTATAGCGCATCTCTGTCCTTTCAGCAGCTGGCACGACCGCTGGCTTTGATTCCCCGGTTCGTCTGGACGCTGGTTTCGTTTGCGTGCATTCTTGCACTAGCAGTAGGTGGGCGAGAACAGCTCAACACGTACCTCCAAAACTTTCTAAGTCTCCTGGGGTATTGGTGCACAAGTTATGCCATCATATTGTTGGAGGAGCACTACATCTTTCGCAAAGGGAAGTTTGAGAATTACGATTTCGAGGGATGGAACGATCCTGCGAGGTTGCCGTTGGGTATCGGCGCGGCTACTGCGTTTGGGCTCGGCGTGGTGTCGTGGTGTATGGGCATGAATCAGACATGGTTCGTCGCACCCCTGGCCAAGGTAATTGGCGATAATGGCGGTGATGTTGCGAATGAATTGACGTTTGTGGTGACCGCGTTGGGATATCTGCCGGCGAGATATCTGGAGTTGAGGATTCTTGGCCGGTGATGCATCGCGGAGTATATAGGAACTAGACGTGAACAAAACTGGGAAAGGCTACCTGATATCTGATGACTACCTGGCCATTGGCGGCAACACTGAAGACAGCTAAACCGTAAGTCCACGGAGAGAAACATTTGAATCCTCAACAGAGACCTCATGTGCCGGTTGATGAATGAACTGGCTGTTCTTTGAGTGTCATGGGTCAGACTGATGCCACCAGACAGACCCCTATTTTATTTTAATTGTTCGGCATAGCACCCAAGTCCAACCCCTGCATGCACTGCCCTGCCCTGAACAGTCAACTTGGCAATCAAGACAAAGAATATTAAGTTCCCTCACCAGGCTGCAAATAGAAAGGACATTCAGGGATTTCAGGGACAGGGAGCGAGGAACATGCACGGCGGCTCCACAGATGAAAAAGTCGACTACATGATTGGTCGACGCCCACAACGGGGGCAGGAGGCAATATTGTGTGGCTGTGAGTGACCGGACCGAGGACTCCGACCATACTAGCACTACGGAGTAGTACTACGGAGTACAGAGTCTGGAGAGTCGATCCAGTGTGTTCAGCGTCCAGCTTTTGCTGACAGCCCAAAAAAAGCCCCACGCGCCACAGCAAAGATGCCAACGTTCAAGTTCGCGATGGCCGTCAAAGTGTCCCTTTTCCCCAACTAGCATACTCTCTTCTTGCATCTTCATCCGTCTTCAACACCCTCATCTGCTCGCGACCGCTAGGCCTTGCGATAGCGTCGCGTAGGTCTCCTGCCGTGATTTATGTCCACTTTTTAACCCCGCGGCTTCTCTCTTCTCAACATCCCCTATCGAACTCGCCTCGTCTCGACGAGAAACGAAAATCCTCATCATGGATGCGCCAGAGCCTGAACAGACCCCTTTCGCCGCTGTCACAGCCCACACGACCAAACTGCAAAGGGTACGCCGACACGCCAGTCGTATACGAGACGGGAACATTGTCATTGAACAAGAAATAGTTGCGCTAACTCGGAAGTAGCATTACCAAGCTCTGCTCGACCAGTCTACGCCCTTTGTGCTCTACAGATGGGTTGCAACCGGCGTCACCCTACTACTCTTCTTCGTGCGCATTTTCTTCATCCAGGGATGGTACATTGGTATGTTGAGGGTCCGACGTCTTTTCATTCTACGGTCCGCTGACTCCTCCCACAGTTGCCTATGCGCTCGGCATTTATCTGCTCAACCTGTTTCTGGCTTTCCTCCAGCCCAAATTTGACCCTTCCAACGATGCGGTCGACCAGGACATGGAAGATGGTGCCGTAGGGACCCTCCCGACCAAGCAGGATGAGGAGTTCAAGCCCTTCATTAGGCGTCTTCCCGAGTTCAAGTTTTGGTACTGGGCTACCCGTGCCATTGCCATCTCCTTCTTCTGCACCTTCTTCGAATTCTTCAACATTCCTGTCTTCTGGCCTGTCCTGGTCATGTATTGGATTATTCTCTTTGTCCTGACGAGTAAGTTGTCACGTTGGACGTTTCCACGTTGGGCAACACCTTGGCTGACCACTTCTATTCCTCCTCAGTGCGCAAGCAAATTCAGCATATGATCAAGTATCGCTACGTTCCATTCACCATGGGCAAGAAGAACTACCGCAAAGACAACTCTTAGTCGTCTCTCGATGCAGGAGAACAGGTAGCGGACGGCATCCCCCCTGCCCACGTTCCGACATGAATTGTCACAAAACGCCAATGGCCCTTGTTTTCTTTTCGGTGTCTATTGTACAAACACATGCTCGCTTTTTGGGAGCTGGTAGTTAATGTTATGGGGAGATGCTGCGCGGGCTTGAAATTGGGATCGGCTTGTAACACCAGAGTGATAGGCATTTTATGCGTAGCAGGTAGCAGGGACATAATAGATCGGCATTAGACATATGGCGGGTGGGCTGTTGGGAAAATGCGGTGTCATAATGGAACGAGAGCCGAATGCGGGCCCGATTCTTGGAGATGGTTCGTTGATGAGAGACAGAATCAAAAATTGAATCAAAGTAACATTGGGAAATAATTGAGCCCCCTTTTTTTTATTATTTTGAAATGTTACCGCCGCCGTCGCACACAAGATTTCACGCAACGGAAGGTGCGGGCGGCGGGGAGCTGCCGCGCCAGCTTTGCATCGTCGGTCCGCAGCCTCGCCCTCCCGCTGGCTTTTTTCCCCCAGCCTTGGCCCGGCCTGGCCCAGTCGCAACTTCGCAACTTACACCTCACCATTGGCGACGGACCATCTGCGACTCTGTCTGTCTTCAACCTCGCGAGAACCGAAACACACGAGATTGTGCGAGCATTCTGCCATTTTTGCACATTTCGGGGCTGACTGCCTTGCGTTGCCAGCACAATGTCGTCCTCGGGGGCGCGCTCTGGTGAGCGCATGGTGCATCAAGACTTCATCGCGCGAATTCGCTTCTCCAATGCCCTGCCTCCGCCACCCAATCCGCCTAAGCTGCTGGACATCCCTAATATGGGCCTGGCGAGTGGACAGTATACGACTCCTGGATTCGCTTCGCGGCTAGCGAGAGAGCAGCCGCTGAATATCGAGGCCGATGCCGAGCTCGGCATGCCCTTGGACTTAGTGGGCATGCCCGGCGTGTTTGACGGCGATGAACGATGTGAGCTTGCCCGAATGGCACGCATGTGTCCATCAGTTGAATGTTCTTCGTTCGCGCGCAAGTCGACTAACGCATGTAACAGCTATCCAGGCTCCCGCACAAGCTCCCGCCGTCCACCCTCACGACAGGGCACTTTTGAGACCTATCGCGGCTCTCGGCAAGCCCAAGGTGGCCGAAGCAAACGTATCCTTCCTCCGGCGAACAGAATACATCTCGTCATCGACGCCAAAGAGACACGAGGGGGGCAACCCGCGAGCCCTGCTCGCCAAGGCACGGAAGCCTCAACGACATGCCCCCGAAGCTGCAGCCGACTCGCCCCAAGTCATCAAACGCAAGATCGACCATGGCTTTGATATTGCCCAGCAGGACCTCAAAGATCCCAAGCGAATCAAGCACCCTACAAAGAAGCACCTCAAGGTCGTCCAGGCCATCCCCCTCCTACCAGACCTCTACGCCTTCCCCGATTCCGGCGCCTACGTCACGGTCAAGTTCCAGACCAATCCCGTCGGCAAGTCAAACAAGTACGACACGCGTCTTCTAAGCGGTCTGCTGCGGCCGATAGAGCGCACGGCGGCCGAGGACGCGGCTTACGAGGCTGCCCTCGAGGCGCACGAGCAGGATCCCGAAAACAACCCCAAGCCTCAAAACTTGATGAACTACGATTTCTACCTCGGACAGAGCAGCTCTGTAGCGGACAACTTCCGCCGCAAGTTCGATGTCGACGACCCTGACCATGACGGCGAAGAGCTGTACACGCACCAGGGCGAGAGCGGTGGCTATTTCCAGTTCAACAGGGTCCGAGCATACGAGACCTCTCACGAGACCGAGCTCGATCACCCTACCAAGTACGAGGACGAGGTGATCCTTGCGTACAACGACGAGGATACCTATCCGAAACAGAAAGCAATGTACTACTACCCCGTCATGCAAAAGTCAACCATCCGGCCGCAGCGAACCAAGAATATCGCCCGAACGATTGGTATTTCCGAAGAGGAGGAGCAAATCGTCGACCAGCTGGACATCACCGTCGATGACCCAACCGAGGAAATGCTCGATGCCATGAGGAAGTACGAGCATCACCCTCTTGGTTGGGAGCAGGAAGCGGAGGAGGAGCCCGCGCAGGACCAAGACGCTGGTGAGGCAGACGGTGAAGACGCAGAGGCAAATGGTAGCGAAGGGGCCGAGAGACGCTCGCCCTCCGGGGAAAGAGATGCGGAAGCCGATGAGGATGAGGACTAAGGCGACTCAGAGCAGACGAGGATTTGTACGTAAGTTAATACGCAAAAGTGGTCTTGCAGATTATATAGCGAATTATTGGATGGTAATCATCATTACCGGTAGGCGCAGGGATATATACAGGATTGCGGATTGAGTTTCTTAAAGCCAAGTTGAAACAAAAATGCCCCCAAGTACCCAGGTTATCTAAAGTGCATTCAAACCGTGTCCAATGCCATGCCATCGCTCATGAATATGCAATTTACAACGCCGACGCCACACTATGCTAAAATGCCTCTAATCAAAAGTCGTGATCCAACCAACATATACAGACCCTATAATTTTTTCCCCGAACTAAACATATCGAAACCAATAATGGCCCGTTGATCATCAATCACGCGCGCATACCTACAATTCGTCAGCCCAATCATCATATCAAGACAAGCGCAGCCAGAGAAGAAAAAAACTCACTCAAGTAGTAACCTGAAAAACCAAACCTCCATGTCCTCCTTCCTCATCGTCTTCGCTGCCCACTCTCGGCTCTCCATCGCCATGTTCTTCCCGTCCTCCGCACCCAAACTGCTCTCATTGAAGAACCGCACAGTCTCGAGCCAGTCATCACCTTGCAAGCTCAGCGGGACATAATGAACCCACGGCTTAAGCCATTCGTTATGCCATTCCCGAAACAAGGCGAACTTGAATGTCAGGCTCATGCTTTGTAAAAATGCTAAAAACCTGCCTGAGAAGGCATTTCCATCCATATCCAGGAGGTACTTGTATCCCCAGGCATCGGTTTGATTCACACGAGACGAAACGTTGAAAAAGGCCTGCTGCGCCTTGCAGTCTCCCTCATCGCACTGACCAATATGAGAGAATGAAACGTCCGTGAGAGTGCTGTAATCGGCGCGAGAGACCTCGGTTACCGCCCACTTTGGCCTACTCTGACTCCCCTGGTTTTTGACAATCTTTGCCTGTCCTCCAGCATTAATCTTCTTGACAAAGTGTTGACGGTGCTGTCTCCTCCAACCGCCGTCGCGACTAAAACCGCCCGTCGTGGAACCCCGCCAGTATAACTTGCTGTCCTTTTCGTCCCAGGGCATATCCTCTTCTTCCTTGTACTTGACCTTGTCGTACCAGTACCACGGCGAAGGGTAAATGATGTCATTGTATGAAGAGATCTTGGACTGCGAGAAGATGGGAAAGAGGTCATGCACTACTTTATATGTATTTGGCCTGTCAAAGAAGCCATATGTCGAGCTGAGCGAGGGACTGAAACATATGTCCGCCATGGCCGTGGAGTTGTACACGAAGCCAAGTTCGCTAACACCGTACTGGCTAAGGTCGTCCCATCGCTCATCTTCCTCTAGAATTCTGGCAGGGCTCTCCGGGGGGCATGACATTCTCGAATGAGTCCAGGTTGCTTGTCGGCTAAACGAATTGAACCTCGAGTGCTTGACTTGTTCGAATATCATCTTGTCGCTCAGCTCAGGGGACGTCTTGGAAAAATCATTCGTGGGCCTCTTGACCGAGTTTGACGCGGGCATATTCTCCGTCTTGGCCTTTTTCACAAGCCTCGTTAGATCGTCATGGGGGACGATAACTCTCGGCTCGTCGTGGATGTTGAATGCGAGGTCCATATCGGGCAAGTACTTCAGGAAGCCGTCTAGCATGCCTTGCGTAGCATTGCGCTGCCATTCCATGCCGCCTTCCATGTGTGAAATCTGGTGGTTGCGTATGGCAACGCCGATGAGTGCGTTGTCATTTCCTAGTGCCTCTTTGGCTCGGTCTCGAATAGTTTTCGGTTTTAGTCCCCAGAATGGTGTGATGAGATTGTATATCGTGTCAAATTCGTCGATGAGCTGGACGTTCTTGGATCTCGCGAATTCGAACCATTTGTCGAAATGGGGAGGCGGCGGTATTTCATATCGCCGACGGTACTCTTTCACTGCGCTTTCGAGATCCTTGGATTGTCGTTTCGTCGTCCCCTCTAGCTCTCGTCTTGCGTCCGTCATGAGATGTTGAATGGGGTGTCTTTTCGAGCTCAAGACATCCTTGGCCCTGGGCCCCCCGTGTATTGTAGTCGCATCACCCCAATCCTCTTGCAGCTCCTCTGCCTGTGTTGGTTTGAGACGTGCATCATTTATTGTCGTCGGCTCATATGCTAATGTCAAGGTCGATTCTAACTTCTGTACCTCATGTAACGATGGCTTCAACGGCGACTGGTCTGATCTAGTATTACCCGTGTGCTTAACCACTAATTTCGTTTCTTGATGTGATATTCGCAATGCAGAGTATATGCAAACTGTGAAGAATATAAATGCTGCGAAAACAGTAAGTTGTCGTCGCAGCATAATGTGTACCAGATCCCCTTCCAATTGGCAGACTGGCGTGTAGAGCTCTGCCGTTTAGGTCAGTTGGATAGCGGAGGGTTTTTATTTGCACGGATATTCGAAATAAAATCTAGATTCGATACGGAGTTATTTTAGAGCTGACTGGTATGCGGGTATTGAGAATGCAAAACGTGGAACGAGAATGGAGGACGATGTCATGGATCACTGTTTACTTTCGAGAGCGCCGTCGGCTGCAGCCACTCTGATAGCTACTACCCGCTTTTGGCACCGTCGCCCCATCAACAACGTGGAGGGGTACTAGTACGCCGCAAGACGCTCTACCTTCATGAAACGGCTTGTACCTGTACCCTACTATTGACGACGTGCTGTGCAGATCGACAGAACACAAAGTGTTTTAACTTTAAAGCACTTCGTAGTTATTGGGTGGCCGTACTTTGGGGGCCCTCGAATTTGCGGCAATGAATGGTATTCGTCTGTCGTAGATGTATATAATGGCTGGTACCATCAAGCTCACAGCATATCGGCAATATCACCAATCAAACGCAATCACATTAGGAACATTCGAGATTTTGTAGTGTAGCAGCTTCACCAAGGCATGTATTCATCGATTTCGCGACTATCCCAATGGCTGCCTCAGGGTATTGGCCATTGTCATCATAACCTTTTCATAACGCCAGCTATGCCCCAATTCTTTTTATTGATGATCCGTCGCGCTTAGTAGAAGAAACCAATAATCTTGCCAGCAACGTGCTTGCGACGGGCCTCCTCGTGGTCCATGATACCGGCGGAGGTGGTGAGGATAACGTAGCCGAACTGACGGGCGGGCAGCAGCTTGACGACCCACTTCTCGAGATCAGCCAGACGGACGTTGTATCGGGGCGAGATGACACCAGTCTTGTTGAGACGGCCGTTCAGCTGAACGACAATCTTGCCAGAGCGATGATCGTCGACTTCCTCGAATTCACCAATGTATCCTGCACAGAACAATGTTTTAGCGATGTTGCGACAAGACTCGGATATATTGACTTGGAATGGACAGGGGAAATTCTCCCCGGTTCGCAGACAGACCCAAGACCACCGCAGGACTTCAATTTATCGGCAACTTATAGGGGCTGGGCCGTGGTGCGTAAAAAGACCGTCGCCCTAGTTATCATGCCGAATGATGGTGGTCAAGGGATCCATCCGCGTGCAGGAGAGAAAAGCCCAAGTTGTCGTCTTGTGGCGGGTTACGTACCGTGGCGCTGCATGACCTGGAGGAACTTGACGATGACCTTGGAGCTAGGTCGGATCAGGACCTGACGCTTGCCGGTCTTCTCGGCATTGTTGATGGAGTTGAGGGCGTCGTGGAGAACGGAAGTGCGAACCATTTTGGCGGTGTTGTACGGAGATTCTCAAGTCGAGCTGGAAATGAGGTATCTGCCAAAGAAAAATCGGTGTTAGCCTCGCGTGGTCGTGAGCAAGAAGAGTGCCCTCCAGGGATCAATTATCGAGGAGGGTTCTGCCGCTCATTTTCGAAGAGGAGAAGCGTATCGAGGGCGTCCCGCGACCAGGTTCTCGACGTATTTCGACAGCATTGCCAGCACAAATCACGTCCTCACCCGTCGCGGCGCCCAGGATTGCTCTCCCCAACCACGATAAGAGGCATCATCCTGCTGGATTCCGAATCGCTGTCAGTGCTTGCAAGAATTCTACATACCTCAGCGGTTGCTTTGTCGGCTCTGGATGGATGGCGAGACTGTCGTGAGAGTCGTAAAAAAAAAGCGTCGTGCACACAGGCTGGGAGCAGTTTCGCTGGTGGGTGGGGCCACTTGGAGCGATTTCGTGTGCCCTGGTGGTCCGTGCACGTAAAAATGCCCTAAACCATCACGCACCACGCACTTGGCCACCAGGGATTTCGGCAAATCCTCGTTTGGACCGTCCGTCCCTCCAAGCCCACCACCCTCACGACGAAACTTCCGTCACTTACTTTTTCCCTTTAACCAAACACTTGAAATCTTCGAGGATCGCCCGACAAGATAAACACTCAAGATGGTTAGTATTTCTAAAAAATCTTACACGAGCCGGTCCTTCGCGAATTTATGTCTTGGAAGGCAGGATATTGCAAGCAGCGCATCGCACCCCGCCGTCACACACAGTCGACTCGAACTTGGCTTGATCGAAAAAAACGAACAATTGCTAACATGTTGCTCAACTTGTAGTCGGACGTAGAAGAGAACAACGCCCCCGAAGTCTCCGAGGAGGTTGAGGTTTCGGCCGATGCCCCCAAGGGCCAGATGTCCGTTCTGGACGCCCTCAAGGGTGTTCTGAAGCTGGCTCTCATGCACGATGGCCTCGCCCGCGGTCTCCGCGAGGCTTCCAAGGCTCTCGACCGTCGCCAGGCTCACATGTGTGTCCTGAACGAGAACTGCGAGGAGGATGCCTACAAGAAGCTTGTTGCCGCCCTCTGTGATGAGCATAAGATTCCCCTGATCAAGGTTCAGGATGGCAAGCAGCTTGGCGAGTGGGCCGGTCTCTGTATGTGAATTCCTAAAAACCACAGCTCTCGGTGTCGATGCGCTCAGAAGGAGGGAAGGGCAATTTCTTGCTAACTATCGCATGACAGGCGTTCTTGACCGTGAGGGCAACGCCCGCAAGGTTGTCAACTGCTCTTGCGTCGTGGTCAAGGACTGGGGTGAGGAGTCGCAAGAGCGCTCCATCCTCCTCAACTACTTCCAGACTTCTCAGCCTTCGTAAAGTTATTTACATGTTCACGATACGGCGTTGAATTTTGAAGGGTAATAGAGGTGCGGACTTGGTGTTTCAAGACCGCCGGACACGACACTTGCGGTTGTACTCTAGGCACTTCAGCTGGGTTCAGGATGGGTTCAGGTCTCAGTGTGACACAGGCCTTGGCATGAGGAAAAGAATAATAAAAAAAGAGACAAAAGTTTCAGCTTCACAACATGGTATTTCATATTCATAGTCTTTGCGAATGTGTGATTTATGTGACTGTCGTATCGTTATGATTGTAAACTACTTGCGTCCCTCAACCTGCCCCGATTGTCAATGAATAACAAGTCATCTTGTGAGGGATTCTCCAGATCTGTCAGAAGCTTACCATGATGATATGATAGCCAAATTCCGTCTTGGCTTCGGCAATCTTGGGATTATTTGTCGTACTAGGCTCCAGGGCAAACGCCGCTTCCTCAAACTTTGGGTCCAGGCTACCCTTGGTTTTCCATCCCAGTGCGCCTCCTGTGGTAATTGAGCATGCTGTCAGCTGGATCGTGCTGTCGATTTTATGATGATGATGATGGCTAGTAATTGGCTGTGGCAAACCTTGTCTCGCTTTGTCCTCTGAGTAATTGCGCGCTACTTCATCAAATTTGACGCCATCATTGAGCTTGGCAAGAGCCTCTTCTTTTTTGGCGTGCTTCTCGCACTTTGGCGCATCTCGAGGTTAGAGCTGTGCCTCGAATGATGGATCTGGCCGCGATACTCACCAAAATGTGCCGCACGTTGATGGCTTGTGCTCCCTTGCCTTTGCCGCCCGATTCTTTGTCCGCCCCTTTGCCCTTACCAGCGGACTTTTCGGCGCCTTTTTTATCGTTTTTTCCCATGTTGATTGCGGGAGGATGAATGCTCAATGGCCCTGGTTAATTTTGGGCTACGTAGGTTGTGAGGTTGAGGCTTGAGTGTTTGGCCAAGCCCAATGGCTACTCCGTACGAAATACAACGTACTCCATTACGCGACTTGCGGATAAGCATGCGCACCTTGTTATTTTGAGTCCTTTTTGTCGGTACCATGTCGCATTGTCGATGACCATGGACCAAGGGCAGTTTTACGAAGCGTTTATTTCTACGCGCATTTAGCTCAAGTGATAAGCTAACAACTACTTGGGTGCTTGGTAGCCAACGAGCCAGAAATCTACATTCTGCGCCAAACGCAATTACTATTGCAGAAAGCGGTATTTAACAATGACCAGTAGCTACGCATCATACTCACAAGACTTCGTTAGCACCGTTATTTGTGGCGAATGGTATTCCACAGTATGCGTTGGCGGCACCGGCTGTTATGCAAGCAAATTGTCATCCTGACCCATGAGGACAGCCCGGTGTGTTAGAGCTGAGGAGGGTATTCAGTTTCGTACGACCAGCTGCAAACCTAGATTATACGTAGGGTAATACAGGAAATTGGCCAAAGTTACTATTGCCTCCGATGACAGAACAAGAAACGCAAGAAATAATGCCAATAAAGCCAGTTCTGATAGCATCATGCTCGCACTTGACCGGGCAACGACCCTGTCACAAGGTTGACGCAAATGTTCAAATATCAGTACATGTGACACCCCAGCTGACGCAGATTAGCCCTCAACAGTCCTGACTTCAATTTTGAAGCCAGCATCATTCACACGATCAAGATACTTTTGTCCCAAGCACGCGGGAGTGAATACACCACCTCCCAAATCAAGGTCATCTTCAAGAATGGTTAATGCAGCCTCGGCGAGAAACAACCCTGTCACTATGACGCACATGTCAGTCAGCAACACAATTTCACATTTCTAGGCGTCAGCCGTGATGGGCACTTACGCATGTACAAACTGCCGTGGAACCAGGCACGGCAGAAGGCTTGTTTTTGAGATGGATTGCTCTCAATGTCGGGCGTGGCAGTACCACGAAACTCTACCTCTTCCTTTTCCATGTCTTCCCTGCTGACACCCTCTCCTGGCTGGTAGATGAATCTTTTCACGAGACTCCGGACGGGGGGCACGAATACCAGGAAGAAGCTTCCAATGGCTAGCGCAAAGTGAATACCGATCCCATGGAGCCAATTTCTAGCTTTGAAGTATTCACTCCAAGTAAACCTAGGCCCATAGAATTCCTTCTTCCTACTGGGAATCTCATGTAAGAGGCCCCATGTTCTGGTAACAACGGTCTGATCTGTCGTTCCAGCAATAGATGTAGTAAGAAGACCCAGATTTGGTCGTGATGTGACACCCAGAATGCTTTGGAGGAGTCCCTTTTGCGGTTTCGCGCCGGAGGTATAAGGAATTGGAGATGTCGCAAACGGCTTCGTGGATTCAATAACCTCTTTCAAGGAGAACTTTTCAAAGAGAACTAACACCGTAGCTAGAGTACCACCCGAGGGAGCAGAACTGCTGATAGTTAGGATAAGGGAGTGTTTCTGGAGACGCGCAAAACGCACTTGAGCTTATGAATAGTAACAACAACGTCCTTGGTAGGAGCATCCAATTCTGTCCGCACATGTTGCGCCATGGCCCACGATATTAGGTCAGGCGGCGCAGACTCTATTCCTGACTGAGGTATCATGATGGCTCCAGAGTCCTTCGCCGTGCTTTCATACTTTTTAATCATGCGAGCAACCCAGGGAGCCTCGCCGGTGCAATCGAGATAGTGGGTGCCAGTCTCGGCGCAGAGTCTGAAAATTGGTTCGCCATACACGCAGTAGGGACCAACGGTGGTGATGAAAATAAAGGTCTTTTTGATCAGAGCTTCTAATTGAGATTCATCGTTTGTATTTGCAATCTCAATGCCTAAGAGCTTGTTAGAGCTGATACCAGTGGCGGCTACACCGAGATGTTCTGAAAAGCACGGAACAAGAGGCCAAGATTAGACATACTGGGTGGCAAACGGTCAGGATTAAGCTTCTTGCATTCCTCAACTACGCTCTGAAGCTTGGATTCTGACCGTCCAGCCACAGCCCATTTCAGATTCGTTGGGAGAAACTTGGCGACATGCTCGGCTGTTAATTGGCCGGTATATCCTGTTCAGGCTGCCATTAGCATCATGGCCTTTTTCCACAACTACAAAAATGACCAGCTTATCGCGGCCACGCTTACCAGTAGCTCCAAAGACGACCAAGTCATACTGACGGCCATGGTTTTTGAAAGCCATTATTGCAATATCAAAGCCGGAAGCTGGTGATTGATGGCGTAATGGATCACAGGGGTTCAGAGACGAGTGCAAATCCAAACAAAAAAACACAACAGAAGAAGTTTATGCCGTGGAAGGCTGTTTTAAAATCTCGGTTATTAGAATGGGTGTCTTAAATAATAGCGATTGAACTGCGGACTTTAAATATCCCAGCAGCGGGCGATGAGGTCAAGTTGTCCTGACTCGAGGTGGCTGCCTTGCTTGTGATGGTGAATACGTAGTCCGGCGCCCCACCCCCGGCCGTGGGCCGTCGAATTGAATAAGCGGGGAGTTGCCAGAAAACAGGACAGAAGTTGATAATGGGCCAAGGTTCAAATAGCGCAGGTTGATGTTTACTTCTCAGCTGCGCGTTGCAGTTTAGCTACCCAAGTAACATGCCGCCGCAGAGTCAGCTCACCCCAATGATAACTCAGCGGAGAATCAAAAAGGTTCTAGAGGAAACTCCGCCGTTGACTAGCTAGATCGAGGCTAGGTTGCGGGTCCCGCTGTCGAGCAGATTGTCACCTGATTGATCATGTGATTTATGCGGAGTACAAAAAAAATAAAGGCCAATTTACACAGAAATGTGGAACTTGAGAGCATTTTCGCTTGGCCCGCCAAGCTCACGTGCTTGCCCTAAGGAAAATCACAACTCCAGCACATTTTCGGTAGCCGCAGCCGCAATCGAGGTCAAGCATCAAACACTTCCCGTCACTCGTCGTCTTCCACCCCAACGACAACCCTCACACATCAATCAAGATGACCAAGCGCACGAAGAAGGTCGGTGTCACGTACGTATAAACATATTCAACATGCCCGCGTATTGCTTTTCAATTGCTAACTACGACTGCAGCGGTAAATACGGTACCCGGTAAGTTGCCAGAAATTATCCTCCCGTCCACACGAATATCCCACGACGCCCGACACTCGATTTTGCAAAGCTCCAAGAAGGTTCGGACACGGCTGGTTATAAAGGAGTTGGGAGGTGATGGGAAATTTTGGATATCATTCGCCTCGGAAGTTTACCGTCACCAACCACAACAAATTATGCCACAGCCATGACAACCGACACGACTGCCGCCCTCGCCCCGCCAACTACCGAGATTGAACTTGCAAGACAACAAAACTAACCTTGTCGTATAGTTACGGTGCTTCCCTGCGAAAGCAGGTGAAGAAGATGGAAATCACCCAGCACGCCAAGTACACCTGCACTTTCTGCGGCAAGGTCACCGTCAAGCGCCACTCCACCGGTATCTGGAACTGCAAGGGCTGCAATCGCACCATCGCTGGCGGTGCCTACGTTGTTGCGTACGTTTCACCATGAATTCTACCCAGCCTTGTCGTCGAGAGTTGACCACGAAGGGGGAATACATCAAACAAGTTGGAGTCTGTTGTACTAACTGAGCATGTAGCACCCCCGCCGCCGCTGCCATGCGCTCAACTCTGCGACGATTGAGGGAGATTGCTGAAGTTTAAGGGAGCATTCACGACGGGAGAGGAGCGTTTACGGCATTTGCTTTTCGGTCTGGTGTATGGGGAATTCTGCACTACGAGTGGACGAAATGGACGTCGACATTCGAACTTGGGTCATAGAGGCCGGTCGATTAGCAATGGAATATAAAAAAACAACGGTTTCATGGTCTCTGGCTCATTCATTTTCTTTTTCCCATTTTTTGCCGACACGCTGTGCCCTCCCACGATCAACCAACTCGCCTACGACGATAAAACCGTGAGACGTGATGTTTTTATCTACAGGCAGCATATTTGGACTGCGCACTAGATGTTACGCGACAGAAATGACCATTAAGAATTGAATCGTGCAAATAGCTGGCCTGGCTTCCATCACAGAAGATTTATCATGAACCATCCAGGCCTTCCAAGCTCTACACTACTATACCAAAGCACTGTCAGTTGCATAGTAGACCAGTCGCATCCAGACTTACGCCTCCCGCGACAACTGCGGCCTGATATATAAAGAACCAAGCCCAACTACGGAGTATAAGGCGGCATACATGATACATGAGAAAAAAGAGGAACCTCGAGTGTCCAGTCCCAAATGACGTGTCAATTGTCCCCATCACCAGCATAATACGCCTTGGGTAACCTTGGTAATACTATGCCAACCACGTCAGAACCAAGCAGGCCCTGACTCGCACCCAAGATAGCCCAGGCTACACGTAACAACTAGCTAGACGCTTGCCGAAACTCTGATTTATATCAATGTCCGCAACTATGACTAGCTGGCCGCCGTTATTCCTCGTCGCATGCAGCCATCACCGTCCCTCGGCCCATGCCTCTCCACGCCCCGGTCCAAGTCGGAGGGTTGTTGCCCTGTGCCTGTGCAAGGCGAGCAGTAGGAGCATGTTTTGTCTGTTATTCCGCCTTGTTACCCAGGTTCCCGCTGTGACGACGAGGGCCTGCTTATGCAATCAACATGGCATGGCATTGCCCTCTTTTTTTACTTTTAATTGCCAGCGGCATGAGTCACTGCAATTTACGGTCTGGCAAGTTCCGGGCCTGGCTGGCAGCGAGAGGGACAGAACATCCCTGCGTCATAACTACTATACGGGTGACCTGAACATGAAGCCAGGAGTGTTTGCAAAATATCCAGTCCACAGGGACCACGATTTGGCCTGCTCCACAGCGAGCCAGAGTGGCAATTATTATACCACCACCAAAAGATGGCACGCCCAAAGACCGCTCAGGTGCCAAGCATCCATGTCGGCCGGTGCCGCGAGCCCGACAAAAGAATAATGTCCATGCCGACGCATGAGTTATGTACATGGATTCAGCCGGGCCCGTAGCGACGCGGGGAGTGTCACGGCCAAGCGGCTGCGTTTCCAAGCCAACACTGACAGAGGAGTCAAACAGACGGTGCTGTTGAGTCGCTTAGAATGCATGTTTGCACTATGAGCCAGGCTTACCAAGGACCCGAGTCCCATTGGCCGTGGGCGGCTGATTGCCCTCTGGGGTGGGTTTGAATGCGCGGGAAATCAGGTATGTAGGTGGAATAGATTGCTTGCGAGGGGTGTGAATGTGACGACGATCCAACTCGAAATGTCAGGGGCATGGAGGAACAGAAGAAGAAACACAGCAGGCGGGATTGGGTCAATTAAAGGACGCGGAGATCAAACCGTCCAAGGCCCTAGATGCCAGGCGTAGAGTAGAATTATCGTTGAGAGCCGTGAGCAGTGCGTTTCGTGGCCTCGTGAGTCAACCCTTGAGGAAAAGAAAAAGGGTAGACATGGACAGCATTCACAAACTATGCCAATCGTCTCGCATCCATGTACGGCGTCGTTGCAACCTTAATGGCGGTGACAAGCGCACACGAGGAACCACTCACACCAAGACCAGGAGACTGGAGCGGCTTGACATTAGGTACGTAAGTATGTGCTAGTAGTACTAGCAGTACGGAGTAGTAGTACTAGTACTAGTAGTTGACGGCGTGTGGGCAGAACGTGTCACGGGCCCCCACCCCTCCCTCAACCTCTAGCAATAGCGGCAACGACGTGCATCCAGCCATCCAGCCGTACTCCGTAGGTGGTTTCTATTGCACGCAAGAACCAGACGTTAAATGGGCAACCGTGAGAGACATCACGACCTGCCAAGAGCAACGCATGGAGCAAGTTAACCCCCCACAGAGCAGCCCAATCTGGCCCGTGAATGCGGTTTTCGCCTTGGATACTGCGAAATGCCGCTATTGACGGACTCATTGCCACGGGCAATCAGTGCAAAAGCGCACGCGGAGGAAAACATTTAATGTTGACCCCATCGTCACACTCGCCGCACTCGCTGCAGTTCATTTTTAAGTAGTTGCCGTACACTGGATCAGATTGACGTCTCCTGTCCATGCCATGCCATGCCACCCGTGAGTCGTATTGCACATGAGCACCCGCGCATGTAACTTACACCAGACACAACCCAAGAAAAAAAAAAAAAACAGCCCACGAGTACAAGTCACGCCCCCCTCGGGTTTGCAGTGTTTCTTCATCTAGTATTAGTAAGTAGGTAGTTATAACCGGCGAGGCGAAAGGGAGCAGGGAAAAGCAGCAATCCGCCAGTCTCTCCACTCACACGCCGCTGCCACCAGGCAATCAATCCCCTCTACGGAGTACTCACGACGGTTATCATCGCACACGCTTTCGTCTGAAACCTCGTCTTGGATCTGCCGCCCTCCCCCCCAAACGACCGAGGCACACGCAGGTCCGTCCTTTGTCACCCCGGTGCCTTGTCGTGCTGCGCACAAGGCACTCTAGTGTCGCCTTGCCTCGTCCACCTAAAGTGAATACTATTACTTGACACCGTACGTACATACAGAGTCGCCCTGCTCGCCCTGCCAGTGGCCTGCGCGCGGGGGGAGCTTCTTTACCCCGTTCCTCCATCTCACATTTTGCCATTCACCTCTGGCGGTGCCTGCCGGCGCCTACCTAAGTACCTACAGCGGTCTCGACATTGTCGACGCAATTGTGTCGTTTGGAGTTGTTCACCATCGACTTGGCGCGTCTAACGCGCACTGCAGCGCCGCTAGGACGTCCATTTGATATCAACTGCTGGTCGCCTCGGGGGCCCCCCGCTGGTGCTGATTGGCTGCGCTGCGGCGCCTCAGGCTCGCCTAGTGCCCTGGGTGTTCTGGGGCTGAAGGTATCGGCTACCTCCCCTCCCTGCGGCCACCTCTGCAACTTTGGAGTACGTCGGTACTTTACCTGGCCACTGCTCCTCCTCCTGCCTGCACCTCTTGTGGCGAGACGCTGTCGGCAGGCCCTTGGGCTTGTGTCTGTCTGTCTGCTCAACGCCTGCTGGTCGCCGGGTACCTAGGTACCCAGGTACGGAGTACTGCCGCTGTGGATTAGCTGACATGGAGGTCAACTGCTCCTTGGCCAGACATTGACATCCAGCCTGCATCTCTCTCCTCTCTTTCTTCCCTTCCCGCCCACTGGCCGTTTCGACTCGACCAGACTCTTTCCTCTCTCTCTTTCTCCCCCCCCCCCCCTTCCCCCTCCCCCCCCCCCATTTCCCATTCCCATCCCCCATCCCACTTCAGTCGGCACTCGGTCCACTGCCACCAGCCAGTCCTCGACTCTCACTCAGGCTACCAGTTGACCTGCTGCACCGCCGCCCGCCCACCATCGCCACCACTCAATATTAGCTGTCTCTGCTACCGCCTAGTTCTGGACCCATCAATTCATTCATCACTTGCCGACCCAACATTGAAGCAGCTCCACTAATACACCAACCCGCCAGAGACAGAACACAGCGCTCAGCACTCAGCACTTAGCACCCGCTCAGTCGTACATACAGGTTCGCAACCAAACAGCACTTGGCCGTCTGCTGCCGTATCCAGATCGATTTGTTGCCTCGTTGCGCCTTTACCGTCCGATTATTTCTTTTCGAACCTTATTTTACATGTTTTCATCATATTTGCCTCTGCATCATCCAAACTGGCGTCATGGACGAACCTGAGCAGTGCATCATCTGCTTGGATCCTCTGCCGCACCCCTCGTCTCTGTCCTCGCCGCCTTCGCCTTCGCCATCGCACGTCAACGGTGCAGGCATCAAACCAGCCCCAGAGACCACCGCCGAGTCCGACCCTGTGGCCGACGAGCCCAACCATCTCAACATAGTGGCCGCATTAGATGGATGCGAACATATTATCCACGATACCTGCATCCGTTCCTGGGCTCAAAAGACAAATACTTGTCCCATCTGTAGGACACCCTTCCACTGTGTTCGCGTGTACAATGGTGTAGATGGTACGTGCAGCACCCACCCACAACCACCCACAACCAACATGGCCTTGCCGGCAACATCCGAACCCAGAGAGAAAAAGAATTCCCAGACAATCATGACCGTCAACATGTGTACTTACTAGTTTTAGGCACGGCCATTTCTACCTACGATGTCATAGACAAAAAGCAAGTCGCCGAATTCGATGTGCAAGCCTGGCTTGGAGAGAACATCGTCGACCAAGAGGAGGAGGAATGCAACCCTTGTCCCATATGCAATTCGGCCGAGCGAGAAGATATTCTACTATTATGCGACAGTTGTGATGCTGCCTATCATACGCATTGCATCGGACTCGATCATATTCCCGAGGGTGACTGGTATTGCATGGAATGTGCTCACTTGTTCCAACTCACCCAGGATCAACCTGAGCGAACAGATGCTGAACCAGAGTCGCCGCGTCCCCAGCTTGTCCAACGCCCGCACCCACGAGATGTCCGTGGCTATCATGTTCGGACTCGCCAGCGGCTCAGACGAGCCCGCCGCCAGGCTCGTAACGCGGAGTGGCAAGGCGCCTGGGGACAGTTTTCTGGTCGTTTCTACGAGATGAGCGATCTAGATCTCGATAATCACGATGACGAGGATGAAGACCTCGAGCAGTTTCGTCGTTTCCAGCAGCTCGACCGTCGGGAGTTGGACCGATGGCGACAACGCATGGATATCGCCAATCGTCTCGGTGCTCGTGAGACTTTTGCGAGCAACATTCCGCCACAAATCAGCGAGCGCCTACAACCGCCGCCGCCGCCAGTCGAGGAAACTCGTGACGAAAGGCGTGCATGGGGTGCGTTCGATCGTGCTCGAGAGGCTGAAGTCACAGCCAGCGGAACTCGTAAGCGAAAGAGCCGATCAGTCACCGCATCTCCGGCCGAGCCAGTGCAAGAACCAGAAAGGAAATTGAAACGCCCACGAACTAGGAGATTACCCACCCAGGCCGAAGCCTCTGCCTCTGCCTCTGCTCCTTCACCTTCTACATCAGGCCCATCTAGTGCACGCCCAACAACCTCCACCGCCGCAACGACAACTGGAACCAGTGGAATCAATGGTACTAATGGTATCAACGGCACAAACGGGTCTTCGCTGAGAAACGGCTTGACTCGGATGGAGAGCGCAACGCCCTTGGTGTCGTCGCTGCTTAAGGAGTTAGAACCCAATCCCTTGTCCGAGGACGAGACGCCAGTATTAACTCCAAACCGGCGCGTGCCTCCGGAAGCATCCTCTCCCGCCCTCTCGCCCTCGCCCTCAAACCACAGCAGCCCTCGAGCTCTATCGTTGACCCCACCACCACTTCCAAGCCTTAACGGTCGGCCTACCTCTCCAACCCTATCACTTAGCACACACATCGAGCCACGATATCCTCCCGCAAATTACTCTCCTACCCGATCCAACAGCGATCATGGAGATTCAGATTCGCGTTCAGCCAAGGTCGACCCACGCCCGCTAGAACTGCGGCAACCTCGGCCACGACGAGCTCATCAAGTACCACAAACTGAAGAAGGCTCGCCAACGCGATGGACGATGACGCAAGAAGAAAAGAAGAGCATAAATGATATTGTTAAATCGGCTTTGCGACCTCACTGGCGGGCGCAGAAGCTAACAACAGAACAATATGCAACCATTAATCGCGATATTTCTCGAAAGCTTTACGACGAGGTAAAGGGTGCTGCGTCACTCAATGAAGAATCTCGACGGACGTGGGAGAAACGAGCCACCCAGGAAGTAGCACAGGCGGTTGCCGAGCTATCAGCTTGATCACTGTTGGTACAAGATGAAACATTTCAGTTGGCATCGGCGTTTTCAGGCTTAAAAAGGTAGCCTTTCGTGGTTAGATACCCAGGTAATTTTTTGTACCTTCCCCAGGAAATGGGGCTCTTTCGTTTTCCACTTGGAGATTAGAATTGGCGGCGTAACGGGCGCGTTGTATGTTGGTTGTATGTGGTCATAGTATCGGGAGGCACATTGATGTTGTTAGCGATGAGGATGACTTCTTGTATTGTATATCGTTGGAATGATGCACTGGGCGCTGCCCGAAGGGCCGGAAGATGAATATATTACATTGACGATGGTCACGATACTCGATCGCTCTAATAGCAAGAGTAGTAATTTGACACCTAAATAAATTTAGCCATGAAGCTCGACAATTTCATAAGTGGGATGCGCTGAATCGACAACATGGCCTCCCAACAGGGGAGAACCAGCAAGCCGTGTCAAAAACAGCTCCCAGATCCAGGTGGTCTCGGATCATGTCGTACGAACTCCATGGATCATTTACACCCTTTGACACTGGTTTTTCGTGATCCAGTCCATAGTGGGGCAGACGGGCCACAAAGAAAAAAAGGAGAGAAAAAGGCTGACTACGCGCGACGGTAGTATGTCAGCAGTATCTATCTAACAGAACCCGGTAAGTAATAAAAATTGCAGGCACCGCTAGCGAAAAAGACTGCTCTGGAATTCACTCTCGGCACTCGTAAATGATCAGGACGTTCTGGGGGTGGAAACAGGTCTTGACGATAAGGAAAATGGTGCCTTGGTGAAAGAGGAGAAGGGAGAAGAAATTGGACTTGGGGAGAGATTGAGGAAGTAACTAGACCGACTGGCCGGTATGTGTTTTTGCCTCAGGCATTCACAATTACCGTCCGTGGTCGCCCCAGGGGTGGATTGACCAGTGCCAAGAACAAGTTTGAATAATGACTAAGCCGCCCTCCTAAGAAAGCGCTGGGGCCAGGAGCTTGCTGCCAAGGTCGAGGGACCAAAAAAAAGTATGAGACGCCGACGAGGGCGTTTTCGACATCCCGAACTTCAAGGCCACCCACGCTGAGGCAAAGGCAGCCTATCATGACTGCATCAAGTAGGGGCCGACGTGCTCTGCAAGGCGCCTTATCAGGTTAGGGTTCTATCGCCGTCTCAAGCTGCAAGCATCAATTGGGAAGCACTTTCTACAAGGACCCAAGAAAACTAACCTCACACGACACCACAGCTTCCCCCAACGTCTGCTCAAGATGCGCTACGAGCACTCGAATAGCCACCCGCTTCTACTCCTCTACCACAGCGGCGACGACCAATCTGTCACCAGATGCCGCGGCACCCCCTCCTACGCGAGCAACGCCCCCATACGACGTGCGGTCCGGTCTCATCCTCACCCGCCCTCCTCTCCTGACACGAAAGCTTCACCCTTTTGAAAACGCCTTTTTCTTCTACCAGAAACGTCTGGAGGAGCGCCTCAACACTCCCTTCATCACTAGCATTTACTTTAAGCCTGACACTGCGCGACGCTTGGACTGGAGCCTCAAGGTCGGCGAGCGCCAAGGCACGGTGGCCAAGGATATCGGCGTGTATAATGGCAAGGGCTCAATGGCGTGGGATGACGAGCTGAAGGTTGGCGATCAACTCAGTAGCCAGGACAGCGTTCTGAACAGTCTGCTCAAGGATGCAGAGGCCCGTGTCAGCGACGACGCCGAGGTAATCGCTGCCGAGGACGTGGTGCCCGTCGAAAGACCCGTAGAGAGAGAGACCGAGGCCGATAAAAAGGGCGACGTGAAGAGATTGGACAGGCAGCTCGAAAGGACGCTGTATTTGGTTGTCAAAGGGAAGGATGGGTGGATGTTCCCGGCTGATGTTGTTTCCAGGGACGAGAACCTGCACGAGGTATATTCTTTTCACACATGACTGTTGGCCCCGTGTGTGGTGACGCTGGATGCTAATGAGCGAACTAGGCCGCCCAGAGAGTCTTGGACCAAGCTGCCGGAGTAAACATGAATACTTGGATCGTCGGCCGCGTCCCCGTTGCCCACGTCGTCAAACAACCAGTCCAGACTGCCGACGGCACCGTTCAGACCCGCGGTCAAAAGACCTTCTTCCTCAAGGGGAGAATAATGGCTGGCCAGGCTGATTTGAAGGGAAATCCTTTCGGATACACCGACTTCAAGTGGTTGACAAGGGAAGAATTGGAAAAGGAGCTGTCGCCTGAATACTTCCGTGGTGTGCGAAACATGATGTCGGATAGGTAGACCAAGGCCAAAGCCTAGCAGCGCGATTGATAGCGTACTCTATCGAAGGGGACGACTTCATGGGTGAACGGTGGCAAAATCATATAAAACACGCCTGGTTGCAAGGCGTATCGTGTAAAATTATTCATGTAACATATTTGTACAGCATGTCAAGACAATGGCTACGTCTTCCATTCCCATGCAGATTGCGTCACGTGTCGACGCATTTTGCTTCAAGTGAGAGTCTTCGCAACTTGATTCTCGAGCTGCTCTATGTCCTCGTAACCGGCGATAGCCCTAGGGCTCTATGAAAATACAAAAGGCCAACAAGATATCACCAAGACACATGTACACGCACCAAGCGTTACGAGCCACAGCATCAACTTTAGTACACTTTCCCAAAGAGGTTTCCTCAACGCCCCAACTCCGCACCTTGTCCTCATCCTATTTTATGCAAACACAACAACCCGCCTCCTTGCCGTTCCCGCTCCCCCTTTCTCCCTAATTGACCATTCGTCTACAATGTTCCGGTAGGCTTGGCTTGCCCCTCGACAAAGTTCAGAGCATCTTCCTCGCTGTAACAATTGATAGAACTTGTCTTATTGTGGAACGTCACACCGTAGCACTTGTCTGCCACGTGGACAATTTCAGGACGGAAAGTGGTGCAGATAAATTGTGTGCCGGCTTCGTTAGAAATAGATTCTAGTAAAGCGGCAACGGCGGTACGATATTGGGCGTCTAGATTTGCATCTACCTCGTCAAAAATGACCATGGGACTGCTCTCAGTCTGTTGCAGGGCAAAGATGAGACAAAGGGCACATAAACCTAGTGATCGACGGTTAGTTCGTACTTTCATTGTAGATTCACGAAGGTCACCTACTCTTTTGTCCGCCACTGAGTTGTTGGATTCTCTGCTGTTCGTCCAGATGCTTGGAGTTGAACGAAACGCTGATCCCTACGCCAGTGTAATTTTCGACACTGCCGCGCGCCTCTTCCTCAGATTCCTCAGGTTCCTGGCGGCGATCGGCTCTTCTCTGGATGACCAGACGTCCATGGCCAGCGGGAACTAGCTTGCCGAAGATGGTTGCAAACTCTTTGGAGACCTGCTTGAAGGTACGCTCGATGGCCTCATCCTTACGTCGATCCAAATGCTCGACAAGCTCCTCGATTGAATCTTGTGACGCATCTAATTCCTTTCGTCGCTTCATGAGCTGGTCTTGCTGCGTCGTAAAGTTGTTATACTGCTCGAATGCCTTCTTGTTGACATGCTTGTACTTCTTCAGAGCTTCATTAACCCGCTTCAGTTTGTTGGTGATCTACTGATTCATTAGTATCGTGCAACGGCCACGTTGGTCGATCAAACTCACCATATTGGCTTCCATATTCTCGTATTTGTCGAATGCTTCTTCTGGGAGCACGCCCAACTCTCTAATATTCTTGGCGCATTCGGCAGCCTGTGTTGTAAGAAGCGCTTTTCTTTGCATTGTCTTCTCCATCCTCTTCTGCTGCTTCTCTATTCTTGTAGAGAGTTCGTTTTGACGTTGCTCTCTCTGCGACTTCTCTCCACTGAGCTCGTCAATCCGTCCAACAAGCTGTTCCATTTTCCCTTCAGTCTCCTGGAGATTGGCTTCGACAGCGTGGAGTGACTTTTGAGCTTTCTTCAACTCGCGTTGTGCCTCTTTCATACCTCCAGATGACCCACCGGATGTCGAGTTCTCGAAGGCCTGACTGCTCAGTTGATCAAGTTTCAGTTGAAGATTTTGACGCAAATCAACCTCGAGAAATTGTTTTGTCCTTTCGAGCTTTCTTCGCTGGTTACTCAAGTCGTTCCACTGCTTTTGCAACTGTTGCGAGAGGGTACTCAGCTGCTCCAGCTCTTGTTCTTCTGCAGGAGTAATATTCTTTTTAAACTCGGTGCCTATTTCAGCTTCGTGTGCTGCAATTTCTTCCAGAAACCCATTCAGGTTTTTGTCCACCAAATCCCGGCGAACTAAAGCGGCGTCGAGACGGGATCTCTCGTTCTCGACATGGGCAGATTTGTTTCGCAACTCATGCTTCAGTGGCTCAAAACCGTCATCAGCTTGGCGTAACCGCTGCTCCAGCTTTTGTAGCTCAGACATGGCACCTGTGATTTCTTGATCTTTGAGCTCAATCTGCCTTCGCAAATCTCGGGACTGTGCTATTAGACTCTCATACTCCTGTCGCCATTTGTTCGCGGAATGCACTGCTTCCAGACGTGACTTGCGAGGATCAATATAACCACCAGTCATTGCACCTCGCTTGTTGGTAGTATCACCTTCGGCCGTGATACCATCTACCCCATGGCTGCGAGCATACTGGGAAGCCACAGCTAAGTTGATACAGACGACAGTCTTGCCGAACACTTGCTGGAACGCCTTTTCAAACTTGTGATCATACTGAATCTTGCTTATCAAGGGCACGGCGTCATTGGAGCGGGGGAAAGTTATTTGTCGGGGTCGTAATTGAGCCAACGGCATGAAGGTAACTCGACCACCACGTTGCTTGAACAGAATATCGGCTAGGTATGTCGCAGTATCAGCGTTGTCAACAACGTAGTGAAACAAGCTAGCACCCGCAGTCTGTTCAACGGGCAGTCGATATGCTTCATTCACCTCAAGCAGGTCGGCCAGTGTTCCATATGCGCCGGGGATATCTTGCTCCGCCTTGAGGCGACGAATGGTAGCCAGGCCGCGGGCTGTTGCACCATCTATGGTGTGTGACATTTCCCTTTCGGCTTGGTCCTTCTCCTGTCGGGCATTGGCAATGACAGAATTTAATTTGTCTTCTTCACGACGGATAAGCTTCCGTTCGTCATTCAACTTATCCAGATGGGCCCTGGCTTGCGTTGCTTCCTCTGCCAACCGGACTCGGTCGCCACTCCAGTTGGCAAGACGAGACCGTAAATCAGCCACCTCCTTCTCCGTCTGATCAATGGATTTCCGAACCCTAGCAACTTCTTCTTCGGCTTCCAGCTTGTTGGCCTTCTGGGTGCTCATTGTCATGTCCAACTCTTCAATTTCAGACTTCAACCAGGCATCGCGCTCTGACTTGTTCTTAAAACGTGAACCGCGAGTTTGCTTGGAGAAGAGCCGAGCCCGTGATGCCTCAGCCGTATCCAGTTGCCTTCTCACATCACTTTCTTGCTGTTTCTTTTTATTGTAGTCAGGCAGAATTTTAGCCAACTGACTTTCTTTCTCAGACATCTCCGCCTGCACCGATTGCAGTTCGGCTTCGTGCTGCGAACGAGCTTGTTCTAGAGCAGACTGTCCATCCTTCAGGTCCTTTACTTTAAGTTCAACCTTGGCTAGAGCCTTGGCACCATCTCGCCTATCTTCTTCGTGTTGGCGACGATCGATCTGCAGGAGCTCCAACTCCCGTTGCAGGTTGTGAATCTCGGCATCCAGTTTTGCAATCGCCTTCTCTCCCTTCAAAAATTCTGAACGGCTTGAGTCGCTGGTGTCCAGACCATCTTGTCTAGCATTGTCAATATCCTCCAGAGCAGACTGGATGGTCACCTGCTCCCGATGGTGGTATGCGTATTCAAGACATCTCCTCTCCCTATCCTTGTCCTGGAAGCCTCGCAGTTCTTCCTTTTCTTCTTCGAGTTCGCTTAGTCGCTCTTTGATATATTCCAGTAGTTCATCGATTTTTTCTCGCTTGTTGTTGGTCTCGTTCATGATTTTGAGTGACTCAGCGCGACGTGCTTCGTACACGTGAGTGCCAGCAACTTCTTTCAGCAAATTTAGTCTGTCAGACTCCTTCATGTTGGTCAACGCCGTGACACGACCTTGTGGAACAATGTAGTAGGGGTTCGAGCGTGAGAATCCCGCAGCCTCGAGGAGATTCATTACATCCGTCTTGGTAACGACCTTGCGGTCCACGGAGTACTCATCCTTCTTCAGTCCGATAGTTCGGCGCAAAACAACTTCCTTGTTGCCTGTAGGAAAACGATCGTCGCTGTTGTCGAAAATGATCTCGACGTACGCGGACATGACTGCCGAACCTGAACCCTCGTGAAGCAGACCCTGGCGCTCTTCGCGGCTCATCTGAGTGTATGCATCACTCAGGACAAATCGCATTGCCGCGAAAAAGTTACTTTTTCCGGAGCCATTGCGGCCAACGATGACGTTCGTTTTGGGAGAGAAGGGCTCGATAACAGTTTGCTCCTTGTAACTGTCGCAGGGTTAGAGCACTGCAGCCGCATATTCGAGCAAACAACCGTGTGAAGCATACCTCTTGAAGCCCTGGATAATGATCTGTTTGATATACATGGTGGGCTGCGCTGGCGCTGACGCGCAACATCCGAGGGACCAGGGAGCTACAGTTTGAACCTGGCCCTAAAACTCGTTGTGATGGAGTGAGGTCGATTTCTCAATGAGGTGCGACGCGTCTCTCGCCTATCGCGATTAAGCAGCGGGAGGTCGCGTTGAGGGACAAGCTAGGGGGGTTGAATGCCTGAGGCCACGATTCCCGTTTGGTACCCTTCGGGCTACCCTATACCTTTTCTACCTCCTGTGTTTCTGTTCCCATCCTCCTGGTTGTCGGGATTTCCAATAAAAATTACTCGGCGACGCCCGAGTCCATACTTTTTCTTCTGCTCGTGTTGAAGATGAGGTGACTAGGAGCTGACAGCTTGATGTACAATGTAGCTTCAGACAGTTGGTAGGGTGATCGCGGAGAGCCACAACTGGTACGAGAAAGAGGGCCGGGTCTGAGCAAGCCCAAAATATCCGTGCTAGTTTCAAGGCAGAACAATAATGCGACTGCCCTGTAGACAGTTTAAGGAGTCCCGGGATCGAAAGAAACCCATCGAATAACACTGGTACTATCTCCATGGTCATGTAAAGAAACACTTGTTCAGTGCAAACACGTAGCCTGGTCGATCCCGCACCCTGGCTCGGCAGTTGCGACCAAGACCCGCTCGGCGATGTCACAACGCGCAGCTGTGCTCCATCCCCTTTTACCACATGCATTGTACAGAGTAAGTGGCTGTTTTTGTC